AAGAAAGAGAAACATCGGAAAATAGGCATATTTTATTCAAGACAATATTATATGACATCAACACGCATTTATCATTCTTACAATCACCGCCAGAATGTCCAACTTCACCATGATGAAAATTGGGTTCTATTATTTTTCCTCAACAGTTCTCCTCACAAAACAAAATTCATTTCAAACACAAATTTGATAAGAACAGAGTGGAAATTATTAGCAACAGCAAAGCTAATATTTTCTGTTAGTTTAAGCCCAAACTAAGAAAAGTAAAACCAAACTTTGTGGCAGTAATTAAGACCAAACTGAACATGGTGGGTGTTTATGGTGCATGTCGGCAATGTTGTCTCGGCGGGGGTGGGGCGGCATGGTGGAGGTGGGGCTTACGTAGACGATATTATCGGATATCGCAATATTTTTAAAGGCGATTATCGATAAGATATTTTTGACATATCGCCCAGCCCTAGTGCAGAAGTCGATGCGGGAGAGGTGGGTCTGACTCCGAGCTACTTTTACACTGTTGCCACGGGTTATAATGCAAGTTAGCGGTTCTAAATTCACATTAAACCACAGCTTCATGGGTTTTTTGCTCTAATTTATTTTTGGTTTTGTGCTGGTTAGGGATGTTAATTTCGGTTATTTTTCCTAACCGACAACCGACGCTCGTTAACCGATTATTAACCGTTAACCGACAAGATTATTTTAAATTAGAATTTAATTAAATTAGAAAGGATAAGTGTCAGTGACCCGTTAAAAATACCAATATTTGTTTCCCGGGGATTCATTTTACATGCGCAAAAAGCAGCAAACAACAGAACATGAGGATTCACTGGTCATCATATTACATCACGCTCCTGCAGCGCTTTTGCCAGCGGAGAAAAACACAATAAAGCTAGGCTAAATATATATACATTTAATAATAATATAATATAATAATAAAATAATAATAAATAGGCCTATACGAGAAATATATTTTTACTTAAATAATAAATTAAGAAAACAAAAGAAAAACTGCAACAAGTAGCCTAGTATGCCGAGTTTCAGTTAATTTTTGTGCTGTGTGAAAGGAAACAGACGGCAGAAAGCGGGATCCTATTTTTCGTTAGGCTTATTTTACAAAAGCACAAAGATTTGTTTTTATTGTGAATGTACACAAATAAAAGCAAACCTTTTACAATTTATCTTTATGACTAAAAGGAGTAGTTGCTTCCACTGTTAGAAGGAAAAAATTCAAGTGATTGCGCCGGTGCCGCAAGTGCGCGCACAGTTAACCTTTGCTACCTTGACAATGCAGCCTGTTCATTATCATAGTAAAATACAGTCAGTCAAACATATGGAAAAAACACACTGCTCAGTTTAAATATGTAGTCAAATCTGTGCCGTTAAGCGTTATCACTGTACCGCCGTGATGTTATGCAAACCATTTTGTTTTACGTGGATATTGGAACGTGAGTGAAGTAGGCTACATAATAAATAATATTTAGGCATTCAAATACATCGCGAATGATTTTGTGTCAAATGAGAGACTCAACGTTGGTTTCAGTTTCGTTTTAGCCTAAATGAATTAGTTTTGGCTTGTCGTTTATATAGCTATAGCTTCTTACATTTTTAATTCTTGTTCTTTTCTAAATACTGTTAATTGAAAGGATTTGTTGTGGAGTGAGGGGAACTAAAATAGCCTAGCTATGTTTATGGTGTTTATTATAATGTTTGTAAACATTTCGTGTCGGCATTAGGCCTATTTCTGAAGGAAATAATAAAATGCGACTTATACGTGACTTGCATTTTTTTTTGTGTAAAAATGAATTTTATTTTAACCATGCAGCAAACCTTTTTAAATATTTTGATAAATTACTGGAAAAAAAAACCTTTTTAAACCGTTTAACTGATTGTATTAATCGGTCAAAAATTCTCACAGTCGGTTAATGGTTAACCAGTTAAAATGAACATTCGTAGTTGCTGGTATTGGTATATTTTGCGTGCTAGTGATAGGAATCGATCCCTTGACGTGATTGGTTATTGGATTGTGACGTAGCAAACCGAGGGCTGTTTCAAACCGCATTTCTGAGACTGCCATTGGGAAACTACAGTTTTAAGGAGAAAATACTCAGGAATGGTGTTGATTAATAGATTGGCACATGGTTTGTCTAAAAGCATATTAAAACCACCACATAGACATAAACTTGGTTTTCACTACAGGGGGACTTTTTTTACTAGAGTTTAGATTTTCATTTAATATTTATGTTAACAAATAAAATTAACAATAAAAACACTGATTGATGTACACATTTGAATATTACATGGCTCTTGAACACTTTACTCTGATTGGTCCATCACTGTATTATTTTGGGTTTATTCTCATTATGTCGACTGCACATTATATCTCACTTATGTATTAGGGAGTTTATCTTTGATGTTAGAAATTTAGTTTGATCTGGACACAGTCCTGAAATACATTGTTGACCAAGAGAAAATTGCATGCTCCATCTCTTTTCATTTCTCACAAGTGCTTGACTGTTAAAGAAGTTTAGTGTCTTAAAGATTGTATGTGGTCTTTGCATTGTCATTGTCATTACGTTAGTGCATGATTGAGCAATGGATTACTGCTGTATAGTCCTTAATATTCAGTGCTGACTTTGTTTACCAATAGAATGATTTTGGTCAGATTTTGTGAATGACATATGTTTTGCACACCGAACAAATAAGCAGCAATGATGCATTTCATGACTTGCTTCTTTTTACGGCAGTTTCATGAGGTTAAATGAAACGCGTCAAAGCTACTTTGTGTAGTTGCCATTGCTGTGTGCTGATGCTAAGTAAAAAGGTGAAGTAATTAAAAAATGCTTTACTTCAGCATGCCCTTTGGACCTTATAAAATTTGTGTAATTTTCTTATGCTGTATGTCCGTGTTTATAGTCTCGTAAGTTCCCTGTATGAAAATTGCTCTATTCTCTCCCTTCTCAGAGGAAATAGAGCAGTCTTCCTGTTTAGGCATGGTTATTTGTCTTACACAGTTGGAGTTGAGCTATTCAGCAGCTCTGTTTAATGACTCTAAATGTAGTGATTTTATTTTCATAAAAGGCCTCATTTGCTTTTATCCTACTAAGGTACAGTATGTGTAATTCTAAGATGTGCTGTCCAGCTGTTATAATGAGGGTATACTACTGAATCCCCATTGTGAAAAGTACACTTCAGAAAGAACCAAACTTGTAAAATTGTGAACAACTGAGACCGCAGGGAAAAATCAGCCTAATCATTCTAGACTTGAAAGAAGTAAAGTTTTGTCATCGATTACTTACCCTCATGTTGTCCCAAACCCTTATGAGTTTCTTTCTTTGTGGTACATGATAAAAGAAATGTTGAAGAATGTTCACTCTTTCCTCATATAAAATCCTGGATTCCTCTTCAATATATGGACGAGAGAGGCCTGTGCATTCTCTAGAAGTTCTTATTTTGTGTTGAATGAAAGAAATTAGGTCATATGGGTTTGGAACATCATGAGTGTGAGTAAATTATGACTTCTGGTTAAACTATTGCTGAATATGGCAGTGGTTTTCAACCTTTAACCTCCAAGCACCCAACCCCCCCATTGTTCACAACAATATTCAAAGGCCTAATACTTCTAGTTTCTGTAAATTAAAAGTCAGAATTCCAGAAGTTTTAGCAGCTGAATGTTTTTATGTTTCCCACTCTTTTTAACCATTGAATTTACATGACTTTTTCAGTCATTCAGGATTTACAGAGTAAGAGTTAAAGACTGAGAACTACTTCTTTAGGTGATTTCTACATGGTTTGGTTCTAGTTCTGTTTTTTTTTAAATGCCATATCTTATAGTATATTGTAGCACACTAAAAATGATTAAACCTCTGGTAGTCTTTGATGCTAGGAACTTCTTGAAACAACATTCAAGTTCATTCAGGACAGCAACTAAACTTGTAATGGATATTTGGAGTATCCAGCCAGCAGATAGTATAGAGATATTTATTTATCTGAATTGCATTTGCACATTCATTCCAGTGCATCTCCAGCGTGATCAGATTTAATCACAGGATTCTCTGCAGTCCAGTTCTCTAAATGCATCTCTTTCCTTTCCAGTGCGGAGGCCTCTCCTGCAGAATGCTGTCAGCATGCCAAGTTTCTGGAGGACACACAGTTTGTGGATGGTTATAAGACACTGGGCTTTCAGGAGAGCATCTATGGGGAGTTCTTGGGCCGCTTGAGGGAGAACCCGCGATTAGTGGCATCCTGTTTGGTGGCAGGAGAGAGACTCAATCATGAGCACACGCAGGGGGTCATACACACAGTCTTCACCTCACTCTATGGCAACTGCATCATGCAAGAGGATGAATGCTACCTGCTACAGGTACATAGGATATACATGTGTGTCGTGGTACAAATATAATTTTTTATATGATTTTATTTATTATACTATATTATTTTTGATATGTGTATTATTAGGGATGTAACGATTCACTCAACTCACGATTTGATTCACGATTTTGATTTCTCGATTCGATTCTCGTTTTTTTTTTTTTTTACAAAATGAGATTTAAATGATAAATTAAATGTCCTTTTATTATTGCTTTTAGACAAAATACTGTACGTTTCTTTGTGAAATTTAAATATAACACTATAATAATATACTAATATAGCACTTGTAAATTATTGCTCTTTTGTTGGTTTTGATTGCTTCTGTTGTCCTCATTTGTTAGTCGCTTTGGATAAAAGCGTTTGCTAAATAACACAATTTAAATATAATGTAAATGTAAATAACAAAACTATTTTTTATTTTATTTTAAAACAAGCCCCAAATCAAATAAATAAGTAACACAAAATTTAAAAAAATCTCTTCATATAAACAAACTAAGGCTTTGTCTGTGCTCTTTCCAATTAAAATTAGAGGCAACCACTGCATTTGAATCACATATTTAAATCGATTTTCAACCGGCTCGCGGTTACTCGTTACATCCCTATATATTAAATAAATATTTTATATAATTGTAACGTTTATTATTATTTATTAGCTCTAAAAAGGGGAATATTTATGACGAATCATAACTGGTTATGATTCATAATAAATATTTAGATTATATCTTCGAATTAACTGTAGCAGAATCAATATTACAATTATTTGATCTGTCCGTCCACCGAGCAGACAATATAATCATTTATCAATTCAAGGAATATTTATTTTCTGGCCACGGAACAATAAACTGTCCTTCTTTGTACAGTGCTAGCAGTAATTCTTAGCCAAATGTAGCAAAGGTTCAAACATTCATTGACTTGGAACTGTGAACAGTAAACAGAGACAATCCGTTGTGAATATAAGGGATTTAATAAAATGAAACTATATCTAACATATAACTAACTAAAACATATATACACAGAATGAAACAAAGTAAGGAAAAGAGAGAGAATAGGAAAGAATGGCAGTATTTCACATCACTTAACCACAACCTCTGAAAAATCATCAAAGAATCCAATAATCACCTTAAAAGGGACTGAGATTTAAACACGCACGGTTTGTTTTCCAGTTTTTATTTCTCGATTCGATTTTCGTTTTTTTTTTTTTTTTACAAAATGAGATTTAAATGATAAATTAAATGTGTCCTTTTATTATTGCTTAGACAAAATACTGTACGTTTCTTTGTGAAATTTAAATATAACACTATAATAATATACTAATATAGCACTTGTAAATTATTGCTCTTTTGTTGGTTTTGATTGCTTCTGTTGTCCTCATTTGTTAGTCGCTTTGGATAAAAGCGTTTGCTAAATAACACAATTTAAATATAATGTAAATGTAAATAACAAAACTATTTTTTATTTTATTTTAAAACAAGCCCCAAATCAAATAAATAAGTAACACAAAATTTAAAAAAATCTCTTCATATAAACAAACTAAGGCTTTGTCTGTGCTCTTTCCAATTAAAATTAGAGGCAACCACTGCATTTGAATCACATATTTAAATCGATTTTCAACCGGCTCGCGGTTACTCGTTACATCCCTATATATTAAATAAATATTTTAGTCGGTGAAGAACCATCTGGCAATTTAAAACCCCTATACAAGTAACATCTCTGACCAGAACTGTAATTTATATGCAAATGTCAAAAGGCTAAAAGGGTCTTTTAAGCCATAAACAGTCCAACACTCCAGCATGATCCTACGCAGACGCTACATAATAATACATGTTTTATTCATTAAACTTTTTTATTTTATATATATTTATTTATTTTTTATTTTATTTGTTAAGGATTAGATATTTATACCACATATAACTCTTTTTTTTTTGTACTGTCCTACTCTGTCCAGGTGCTACGTTATTTGGTGGAATTTGAGCTAAAGGAAAGTGACAACCCTCGTCGTCTGTTACGGCGAGGCACGTGTGCCTTCAGCATCCTCTTCAAACTTTTCACCGAGGGCCTGTATTCAGCTAAGCTTTTCCTCACTGCAACCCTCCACGAGCCCATCATGCAATTGCTGGTGGAGGACGAGGACCATCTAGAGACAGATCCAGCCAAGCTGATAGAACGGTTTACCCCGGCCCAGCAGGAGCGCCTGTTTGGAGAGAAAGGCACAGATGAGTACCGCAGAAAAGTTCAGGCAGCAGTGGAGGCCAACGAAGCCAAGCTGGTGGCCCTGGTCAACACCTTTATCGGCTACCTGAAGCAGAACACATATTGCTTCCCACAGAGCCTGCGCTGGATTGTGTCTCAGATGTATAAGACGCTGGCACGTGTGGAAAGGTTAGAGGTCGGGGAGGTGAGGACGATGTGCACCGACTTGCTGCTCACATGCTTCATCTGTCCAGCCATCGTCAACCCTGAACAGTATGGCATCATCTCCGATGCACCCATCAATGAGGTGGCACGTTTCAACCTCATGCAGGTAGAGAATAATGGTGTTGCATCATTACCAGTATATTACAAAACAACTGTAATGAGGTCAGCTAGGTTTAAAATGCTGAGAGTATGACAATATTTGCAAATGAGAATTTACAGATTTTTATTTGTATTTAAATGATTAGCATAAAAAAAAAATCACATTTATCAAAACACTTTTTTTTTATTGAACTAAGCCTACAATTGTTGCATGAATAACCAGTCAGTAATTTAGTCATTTTAATTAAGTCCCACAAAAATGTGTTCATAAAATGATACATAGAGGGTTGTGTACAGAGCAGAGTACAGTTTTCAGTTCACTTCAATTTCTGATTCTGAAGTTAAACATGGATGAAAATTATGACTTGCAGTTCAGTTAGTCAAATGTTAATTAATTAAAATAATCAAATTATAATAAGGTGACACTAAATAAACTTATAAACTGGCGACACTATAGAAAGACATCCAGCCATAATTCAATACAACACTTTTTCTGACACACAAATTAAGTGTGGTTTATGTCTGTCTGTGATATTAATATATTCAAAAAAATAAAACCTAATTTGATGTTTTAGGTGGGGCAGTTGTTGCAGCAGTTAGCAATGTCTGATGCAGATGATGGAGATCCTCGACGTAAAAGCAGTTTATCCAAGTTTGATAAGGTAAGAGACAAACCCAGAATTATAAAGCTTCTTTGTTTCTGATTGTCTTTCTCATCTATATCATCTTTCTCATTTTGTTGCTATATGAAGACGAACATAGGCTATTGGCGTATTGCACACTGGCCAGTTTCCTAAATCTCAGTTTAGCAAAATCTCAGAAGCAGAAACCAACCAACTCCAGTGAAATTTCATGATTCTCAATACAAATTGACCACAAAATGTAATATGTGTTTGCACATACTCCTTTATTTTAAAAGTTAAATAATATTTTAGTAAATATCATCTGGGTATTCCATACATACAGAATATTAACATACTGCACAAAGTACATTGTGCAAATAGTATGAGTAGTACAATGGTAGTACGCTATTCCAATCATGACTAGGGAATGTTATATGCTTCATTAACATGTCCCAACACTCTTTTTGTGGATTGATTCATTGCAGCTTTTTTGTCTTTTTAGATGTGTGTTGCTGCCTTTTTGGACATCGTCATTGGTGGAAGAGCTGTCGAGACTCCACCGATGTCGTCAATGAATTTACTGGAGGGCCTCACACGGACGGTGGTTTACATGACTCATAATCAGCTTTTAGCTCTGGTATGTAATGCAGTGAAGAAAGAGATGTGTGGAAGGAAGTCAACTTCGTCTGATTTTTATGATTACGTCATCAAAAGTACAAATGAGCTTTGGGCTGTTCACGTGGTCACCGTGAAATCACATCCGTCTAAAATATTGGTCTGCAGTTTTGTAATAAGTTGCACTATGACTTATATAAGAATTCCTTTGCAGTTTCACATCCTTTTCCTGCCTGAAATGTGAAGTCTTTATGAAGATGTTTATAGTTTGATCATTTTCTGTACAGTTCTATTCAAATGAATCTGTTTAGTTTAGCAGAGAGTGGGATGTCCTAAACATTGTCATATTCACAAACTAGTCTACGTTCGGTAAACTAGGACTGTCCAATTAAATTGTAATTTAGGACAATTATAGAAAATCTAATGTGATACTAAAATGAACACGTTTAATCATGTCCTCTGACCTGCATGTGAATAAGTACACAAAAACACTAAGACTAACACTAAGACAGATTGATTGCACAATGGATTACTGTGGACTGTTGGCCTGTGACAGGCTTATGCTAATATGGAAAAAAAAGCAAACAATTTATTGACTTCTAAACATTGACATTAGATTATTGTAGCAGATGCGTAGATCATTGCATTTTCTTCATTTGAGAGCTTTTATGTAATATTGATATGTAATAACTTGCAGTTAATTTAATCACAGTGTGATGTGTAATTAAACACGAATAATCACTTTAATCATTGGACAGCCCTAATCAAAACATATCTCAGTGCTTTTACTGTACTCAGCAACTCAGCTTTTACAGAAGATTCAGATCAATGAAAAATGACTCGTCTACCTCACCCTCTTTCGAACCTCAACAGAGCATGCCTAAACCCGTCCCACTAATATAGCAGTAACAGTCATACTGCATACCTTTACAGTCCTAATGCTTTAACTCTTCCTGCCCAACACTGCCAAGAGCCAATAACCCTCCGTTTCCCTGTGCTTTTCTTCTCAGCATGTGCAGCAAGATGCTCATCATCGCACTGTCATTTACAGAGCCAATTAGCCCGACTCCTATGTTGTTATTGCATTAGACTCACTGTGTGAAATTCACTAATGATGATAGCTGAATAATTAGGCCCACCTGCTTTAATTACCATCACTGATTAAGAATGAGTTAAAAAAATTACCTGAAGACATAAAAAAAACTTATTGTACATCTTTGCAGGCCTTATTTCACAGGATATCAACTTGGAGTGATTGTTTGATAGCGTGTTTGTGCCAAAGAAAAAAGAAACGTCTTTAAACTCATTTCTGTTCAGGAGGACTTTGTGCGTAGTGTCACTGCAGGAGATCAGCTTAGAGAAGAAGACCACCTGGCTCTGGAAACCCTAATAGCCAATGTACCTCAGTCCCGCACGACAAAGAGCAACAGCCTGGAGCTCACACCTTCCAACACACCCCAGCTCTCCCCAGCTACCACACCCGCCAACAAGAAGAACAGACTCCCTATTGGTATTCCTTCTACATTAACTTTACTGCATGTTGATTGCTGCAGATTCTTTGGAGACTAACCCTCTGATTTATAGAAAGTGCAGTCCAGTGTAATCTGATACAAGAATAAATGACTCTTTATTCTGGTTATTTGAAATTGTTCAAAAAGAATCAACTTGAATTCACTGAATGAACCTACTGAGTCAGTCAAGAAGGGTACTGAATCAACATCTGACTCACTTATTGAACTGCAAGTATCATTGCTTCATATTGAAAGTAAGTTTTGTGCTCTACGGATGTGAAACTTAAATCCGTGTTGTTAGTTACTGGTTGTTCATATGATTGTGTAGTTGAGGATGCACACTTGGGATTTTTAAATAGATTCTATTTTAGTAGTAGTAATAATAATAATATTTTATTTAAGAATGGATGGCAATAATAATTTATTATTGTTACTTAATATTATTGTTATAAGATACTACTACTAATACTAATTAAAATGATGTATTGAAATGTTACTGTTGATGTTGGCATGAATATAGCCATTGTTGCTGATATGGCATTAAAACAAATAAACTGCTACTAATTATTATTTATATATAAGATTATTAAATACTACTACTACTAAGATATGTAAGATAATACTGCTACTATTTGTTGTTGTTCTTATTATTAGATAGGATAATGATGATGATAATAATAATAATATTTTTTAGAATTCACCAAAAAAATCTAAAAAATAAGTCCAAGATGATTGATTAGGTTAAAGAAATATTGATTTAAAATAATATAAAAAAATATTTCATTCAGTATTAAAAAGGTTGAATCAAAGTAATTCAGTAATATAATTTTTTTTTTAATTTATGATTTTGCCCATTATATCTGTGTCTTGTTTTTTTTTTCCTGCATGGAGCATAGCATTGTTAGCTTAGCTACATGTTAATTTATTCAAAATATATTGAAATATATTGAGCATGGGAGGCTTAGGAATAGAGAGTCATAAGGATGCTGGAACAGAGCTAATATCTCCTTTTTACAACTCACCCAGACATGGACACTAGTTAGTTGTCTTCTATTAATTAACTACTGTTTGTTCTTACACTCATTTACTGATCTTTTACACACTGTTTATCTTATCCACCAACTCTCTGACTTCCCCCTTCTGTCTCTTCCACCTTTTTTCTTGCCTTGCTGCCAATGATCTTCAGGACAACAGTTGGCTGCCATAACGTGTTGGGAGCCCTCTGCCACTGCCCTGTCCGCTCATATACCCTTAGTAACCCCATTTGGTGGGTAACCCTGACAGACTGCCGTGACCGACATGTACCTCTCACCGCTTCACAAGTGCTTTCCGCACTTGCTGTGTCTGCTGTGTGTGTCCCTGCTATGCATTTTGCTTCTCGCTGTACCATATCTGGGCTGCATTACTTGCCCCATGCGATATAAATGTAGTTGAAGTGAGACATTTCAGTGTCATAAATTTTGTAAGATGTGCCTGCACCTTTTCCACCATATTCCACACTAGCTGTTTTCTACATTAGAATACATTAGACATTAGAATCTTGCAAAAAAAGGTTTCATCAGCCATAAAAAGGGGTAGTCCAATTTGTCTTTAAGCAGTCTGGAACATGTGTTCATTGTTTTAAAGTGTTATCTGTAAAATATATTTTGCCACAGTTTCTTTAAAAAGTTTCTTCACTCACATGTTATTGTTGCCATTTAAAGATGTTTTTGAGCGTTTGTGAATGCTAGTGCTCATGCAGGCTTTTGCTAACACACTTAGCAGCCTTGCGGTTCCTCTAACCCTTATAGTTTGTCTCCTTTCCCACTCTTCCTCACCCAGCAGGCTCTCGCAGCCGAAGCCGTTCCAACATGGCCCAGGAGGGAGAGACTGAAGCCAGCTCTCAGGAGTCTCTGCAGGAGGTCACACCTGAAGAAGTGCTAGTCATCTCGCTGGGAACCTCACTGCAGACCGTACCTGGGATGATGTCTGAAAACGAGGTCAGAATCTTTAGTCAATATGTCATGCTGAGAAGGTCCAATTGTAGTAGTTACAGTGGGGAAAATATTTAATTGATCCCCTGCTGATTTTATAAGCTTGCCCACTTACAAAGAAATGAAGGGTCTTTCATTTTTAAGGTAGGTTTATTTTAATGGGTAGAGACAAAATACAGACCAAAAAATCCAGAAAAAACACATTATATAAAAGTCAGAGATTGATTTGCATTTCAGTGAGTGAAATAAGTATTTGATCTCCTACCAACCAGCAAGAATTCTGGCTTCCACAGATTGGTTATGTGCCCTTGTGGAACACAGATTAGTCCCGTCACTTTAAGAAGTTACTCCTAATGCCAGCTCGCTAGGTGTATAAAAGACACCTGTCCACACAATCTGTATCTTCCATTCCAACCTCTCCCACCACCATGGGCAAGACCAAAGAGCTTTCAAAGGATGTCAGAGACAAGATTGTAGATCTGTACAAGCCTTGAATGGGCTACAAGACCATCAGCATGAAGCTTGGTGAGAAGGAGACAACTGTTGGTGGGATTATTCGGAAATTAAAGAAATACAAAATAACCATCAATCGGCCTCAGTCTGGAGCTCTGTGCAAGATCTTGCCTCATGGGGTAAGGATGATCATGAGAAAGGTGAGGGATCAGCCCCGAATTACACGGGAGTAGCTTGTTAATCATCTTAAGGCAGTTGGGACCACAATTGGTAACACACTATGCCACTAATGGACTGAAATCCTGCAGCACCCGCAAGGTCCCCCTGCTCAAGAAGGCACATGTACAGGCCCGTTTAAAGTTTGCCAGAGAGCATCTAAATGATTCAGAGAAGGCTTGGGAGAAAGTGCTGTGGTCAGATGAGACCAAAATTGAGCTCTTTGGCATTAACTCGACTCGCCGTGTTTGGAGGGAGAGAAATGCTGACTATGACCCCATGAACACCATCCCTACAGTCAAACACGGAAGTGGAAACATTATGCTTTGGGTCTGTTTTTCTGCTAAGGGTACAGGACGACTTCACTGCATTGAGGGGCAAATGGACGGGGCCATGTACTGTAAAATCTTGGACGAGAACCTCCTTCCCTCAGCCAGAACATTGAAGATGGGTCTTGGATAAGTCTTCAAGGATTATAATGACCCAAAACATACCGCCATACTGTCAAGGCAACATAGGAGTGGCTCAAGAAGAAGCACATTAAGGTCATGGTGTGGCCTAGCCAGTCTCCAGACCTCAGTCCTATAGAAAATCTGTGGAGGGAGCTGAAAAGCCAATAATCCTTAAGGATTTAGAGAGGATCTGTAAAGAGGAGTGGACCAAAATCCCTCCTGAGATGTGTGCAAACCTGGTGACCAACTACAAGAAACGTCTTACCTCTGTGCTTGCCAACAAGGGTTTCTGCACCAAGTACTAAGTTATGTTTTGTTTGGGGATCAAATACTTATTTCACTCACTGAAATGCAAATCAATTTCTAACCTTTATATAATGTGTTTTTCTGGATTTTTTTGGTTGATATTCTGTCTCTTTACGTTAAGATAAACCTACCATAAAAATTACAGACCCTTAATTTCTTTGTAAGT